AAAGCATCCTGTATCATAACTACATGTGTGCCGTTTGTAACAAACCAAACCTTGTGAAAATCAGTTGAAAATTCAGTGAGTTATTCTATTTTACTTGTGCATACAGCTCCTTCCTCAATAGAAGTGAATGCACTGTGGAGGCGAAGCGAGACCCATTCAAGATGGCGGCCGGCGAGGACGTCAGCTCCGATAGGCAGCGGCAGTCATATATGTCTATGCCAAGATAAGAGCTGAGAGACAGAGAGCAGTATTAAGAAGGAGGAGAGGAGACAGAGAGTGACATGCTGATGTCACATGTTGTTTGCAGGACATGTTCATAATGTCCCTAAAAAGAAAAAAAAGTTTTAATTAAGGTCTGTTATTTTTATTGTTTATATTACTGTCTATTTTCTTCTAGTAAAAAATAGATTTTAGAATTCTGACTTTGAAGTAGTGACAGAGCCGGATAGCCTACTGAAAGAGGCCAAAACAGAGAAATGCATTAAGTAGTAAAAGGAGAGAGAAGGAGAAGGGGCAATAGGCCGACTGATGAGGACATGGTATTGGAGGACATGTTCAAATGTCACAAAGTCCTCAAAAAAAAAAAGAAAGTTTTAATTTAAGTCTGTAATTTTATAAAAATTCTTTGGCTGACAGTTTTTATTATCACTGAGATAATGCTGGTTTGACATAAAGTAAAAAAAATAATAAAAGCAGCTATGCAAGTAGCAAGCTACTTCTGCCATTTTCTCGTAGTTTAGCTTGCTAACATTTATCTATGTATATAGCTTCAATGTAGTGAAACTTCATTTTGATATAGAGTAACTGGTAGCGTGGCTCACTACATTTCCAAGTAGCTTTCCCAACACTGCTAGTTAGCTGCTTTGTAGGATTAGCTGCTGCTATTCAAAACTATTTGCTCTTGTGCATTTGGTCTAAAGGTTTATTTGACAGCAACTATGACAGCAAGTTTCCAGTACCACCTTTTCCCAGACACACAGATATATTTTTGCTCTGCTACTTGCTGGTTTGACCAGGGACACGTCTGTGCTGACTCTGATCTAAAGCTGAATTTACATGCAGCTGTAGTTATAGACATTCAGATATTAACAATCTGGATGATATTAACAAGATCAAATATCTTAATACGTCTGACTCTGACCCAATAACAGGATATCATCAATGTGATCTTATTTTGCTGCCAAGTGTTAATTACAAAAAGGCAGCACCTTGGGTGATCAATTAGCCACTGACACCATCAATAAGAGACAATAGCCCACATTCCCTGATTACATAGCACCCAAATACTCCAGATGTGTGTTTTTAACCTCAATACATTATACAGTTCATCAATGGGAAGTTGCAAGGAAGCAGATGGGTTTTGTGACACAACTATCATTACAAAAAAGATATTCACACACATAAACATAGACTATCAACTTCACAATTAACGTGTTATCAAACTGCCCCATATAACGCCATTTTACAGCCTTCTTACATTTACAAACAGCATCAGCCCCACACATCTGTTTAGGCTTTGTGTCTAACCTGCAGAGGTCATCTCGGCGACAGAAGCTCTGCTGGTGGAGGCAGTTGGGTTGCAGACCCTCCATCTCTTGGTAGGAGCAGGAGGGCACAATAGTTTTCCTCCTCCTTTCACCACACAGGGTGTTAGTGCAGGGGCAGAACAGGACGCCCAGGCTGTATTCCTCAGGCACCCGCTCCAGGAAGCGCCGCAGGGCCCGGTGACATTTGTGCTGGTTGCACCGGGTGGTCCCAGGCACCCGTTTGGTACAGGCCAGGACATACTCTGATCGCAGAGAGCCACACTTCTCATACAGGCCACAGTCCTGCGCTGCCTTCAGGCACTGGTTCTCACCATCCAATTGCATGAAAGATGAGGCTGATGGGGTGAGGAGTTAATTAAAAGTTAAATTAGCCAAACACAAAACACCTGGGTGTGCAGAAAGTTGTAAAGAGGGAAATGGAAGTGTCAAGTCTTATATAATAATTGTTAAAAATGTATCTTGTAGCTATTCAATCTGTGACTTGCAACAAAAGTAGAGGACTTCATACTTTATGTCATGTGTATGCAGTGTTTAAGGAAGAGCAGCTGCAAAAGGGAACAGTGGTATGGGTATCCAACCATCAGTTTCAGTAGGAGAGTTATCAAGTCGGACAATGGACTCCCACAGAAGTTGAGGTCCAGAGTTTAAAAAGTATAATTCCTATTGATTAGATTTTTACATTCTGATAATATGGATGCCAGTGGAAACATTGTGATGTGGCGTTTTTGTGCTAAGAGTGACAATAATGGGACTGAGAGTTGTTTCAACTTTGTTTTTCTGAAATACTATAGCCTCCTACTTCATTGAGGATCATCATCCTTCCTCTGTAGAGTTCCTATTCATTTCACTGAACCCAAAGTGATTAAAGGTAATTAACTTACAAACGTAAACAGTAAACTTAAGTAACCCAAACAAAAAATAAAGAAGAATAAACTAAATAATAGTATTAAAACAGCATAATTTGGTGTTTTAATAGAGCTAAATTAATTGGGTTACAGTAAGAATCCCAGAAGAATAGTCTCTTAAGTAAAGGTAAATTAAATAAGTCCTAATTCCAGTCCCAGGGGCTTGGCAGAGGTCTCAAGTGGCCTGCTATTTTGGGAACCTCACCAGTAATGAGGCAAGAATGTAGAGCTTACTTTGTCCTGACGGTGGTGAAGGAAAGCTCATGTAGTCTCAATGGAAATGGGTTTATCCTCTGGGATGCATATGCCTGTGCATATGCCCAGTAAACTGTGTGGCTCCCCAAAGAAAGAAAGGTCAAATTTTGACCAAATGATCACCATATGGTCAAAGAAACATTGGTTTACAGTGGAGGAGATTGTCAGGAACATGATGATTCATCCCTGTGAACCTGGAAACTATGAATATCCACAGCAAAATCTGAACAGCCAATCTATGAAGCACTTGTCATAGGGAACTTTGGGAGTGATAGTTGAGTAAATACCGGGTAGTCATAAAATCAATAGGAATGATCCTCTGGACTCTGTCAGTGTCAGTGGTGATCTGTCCTACAGTAGTTTATATTTGCTCTGAAACTGACAGCAACCTTGTAGTCAAGTGGTCTACAGTATTCAAATCCAGCCCAGGGCGTATACTATATTACTGTCCTTAAGAACCTTACAAGTAATCTAATGTTCTCTGGCCCCAAAACTCAAAAACAAGCCAACTAACAACAGCTAATCCACAATTTCCTGACAAAATGAAATCTTGAAAAGTCTGTCTAGCCTTGCTTATCCAACCCCTGCTACCCAGCACCAACAATATGTACAAGGACAAAGTCTGAGGGTGTAAATGGTGGACCTGCCCATTGAAAGTCAGAGATTCAAATCATCAGTCAAAGACCCCTCATTTGACTGAGATTGCTTCAAGTTGAGCAGGTTTTTTTGTTTGTTTGTTTTTTTTTTTTTTGCTAGTTTTGCTTCTAGGGATATTTTGGGCAGACGGCTGCAGATACGATACAGTGGCACAGAGGAGGAGAGACTTTGCACCATAAGGCTCTGACATAACATCATCTTCTCTCTTCTGAGAAGTGGTGAATTTAGAGCTCACAGGAACATCATACGACACAGTCTCTGGCTTTTGTGTGATATTTAGTGTTAGCAAAAAATGTTGTTGCACACTTCTGTGTGTTGTTAGCCCAGTTAGGTTGTTTAGCATACTAACACCCCTGTTCAAACTTTAAAACTTTATAAGGAAAAACACAAATCATGAAATATTCGTATTGAATAGCCAAAACTGATTCGACTGACATAATCTAAGTCAGGTACAGCCCTAGTAAATGGATGCTGAGACAGAAATGTCTCAAAAAGAGCAGAGTGTCCTTGGCTTCACTGGCGCACTGGTATGACTCCATGTGTGACAGTGATGGACACTGACTATAACTACCTAATCATAACAAAGACTGCATGAGTGGCTGTGTGTTTGTGTGTGTGTGTGTGTGTGTGTGTGTGTGTGTGTGTAGGTGTGTGTAGGTGTGTGTTTGAGTTAGAGGAGTCAGAGTGTGTTTTACCTGCCACTAAGGAAGCCATGCGAGTATCCATTAGTGTGTCATCATAGGGAGATATTTCTAGTTCATCCTCCCCTGGAAAAAAGGAACACATCAGCATTTGGCAAACAGTTAAGTGATCCCTTACAATGTGACCCACAGTGGCTTGGAAGGAACAAATGTAAGACGAACACTGTGGTAAAGAGAGCAAACGCTAAGTGAGAAACACAAATGAAACTCAGTGTAACCTCCCTCAAATGCACTGGAAGGAGGTCATCACTGTAATCTGGAATGAGGGTATTAAATGAATTGAAAAGATGAATTAAACAAAAGCATATTTTTCACAGTTGTCCCATTAAAGAAATTGTTTTATTTTGATTATGTTTATTAAGGTCATGTCCACTTTGAGGCTTGTAAATTTAAATATATAGCCAACAATGTGAAAAAAAAGTCCAAACTGCCATCTGCAGGTCATTTTTGAAAAGTTGTTCAGCCAAAATAATTGGAAAACAGCTAAATCTCTGGGGCCTAGGACTGAACCTTGGGGCACACCACAAGAACATTTTTTCTCTTTGAACAGAACCTCCCAATGGTAAAAAAGGTAGCTGGTTGAAAATCTAAACTAGTCTAAAACTGTGCCAGAGAACCAGAGTCCCTATTAAAACCCTATAACAAATAAAGGCACTGACTGTATTGAAAAACGCAATGGTCTAGAAAAACAAGAACAGATATTTTTCTACCACACAGCGCCTCATGATGTGATTCACAACTTAGAGCAAGGCTGTTTCTTTGCTTTTTCCAGCACAGAGACCAGTGTTGGGTAAGGGTTACTTTAAAAGTAATCAAAGTACGCTACTGTGTTACTTTTTAAAAAGTAACCAGTTACTTTACTGCGTTACTCCCTGAGTAAAGTAACTCAATTACTTTAAAAGTACTTCCAAAGTTACTCCCTGAGAAAAGTAACTCAAGCACTTTTAAAGTAATTTTGAGTATTCTACATTTCCTATTGGGCAATGGACCACAGGGCGCTAAGCCTACATTTTTTTGTCTCCAAAATTAAAGATATGGACCACTTGCCCTTCACTGAGATCCAATTCTCCCATCACAGCCGTCACTCTGACCAGTAGAAACACAGAACGATCTGCTGCCGTAGACAACTGTTAGACAAGACCCCAGCGTTTTTAATATTTCCTCTAGGGATGTACTCCACCTATTTAGAATCCACCGTAGACAACAGCAGCATTTCTCCGACCACGTAGCGAGCCACAAGCTCCGTGGCTTCTTTCAGACTGATAGGTTTAACGTTATCTCCGTTATTAGAACCAAACGACAGCCGTTGCTGTTTCAGAGCTGAAGGACCAGCGTTCTAAAAGTAACGGAAGTAACTGATGTCTTGTTTGAAAATGTACTTAAGTATTTGATTACTCAAACAGCAAACTAACACATTAGGTTACTCATTACTGCAAAAAATAATCAAAGTACTCTAATGTGTTACTTTGTAACGCGTTATACCCAACTCTGACAGAGACTAGAAAAGAGAGAGAAATAATAAAGATTATTTTGGGATGTAAAATTAGTGCCAATAAATATTAAAGGCAAAGCTAAATCAGGCCCTTAAATATTTTGCTCAAAAACATTATAAATCAGCATCAGCCTCATTAAAACAGGAATGGCTACTGGCTGTTTTGGCAGTATTTCTGACCTAATGTACTGTAAGTTGTCTTGTCTCTGAAAAAATAAATATCCATACACAGGCAAGTATTTAGCAAGCATTTAACTGGTAAAAAGTAAAAGTTTAATGTTTTCTCTTTGAGACTGGAAAGCTTACTCCCATTTTTTTAATTGCACTGTTTTCCTGTAAGATAACAGTGATTCTGGTTGGTTATGTCATCACACAAAGAGCCAAGATAACACTTTATAGGGATATGAGTAAGCAATGACACATAAAAGAGTAAATAAGATTGCCGTGGACAGAAATACAGGAAAGGGATATGACGGTGGTGAAAAATCTTTCAATGATTAGAGGATCATGGGAGTAAACATGAGTCATGTACAGTATGTTTAAATTACCCACAATTATAATGCAGTCATATATGATTGTTAACAGGTGAAACCCAGTAAAACTGGCCCCACCATCATGATGCTCTGTGTCAGTGATTCTGTGATGTATTCTGTTCTATCCCTAAATTACTTGTCAGGGTATTTTCTGAGAGTTGACTGCACTGAATTGACATTACTTTATAAAAGCTAATTAGAAGAACAAAGGCCTCTCCTTGCATCCCCTGCAGTGCAGAGGGGTCTCTGAAGTAAAAGCATTCCTTTACACATTCAGACATGTTAGCTTCCTTGCCTGCCTCTGTGAGTCTCCCTTCTTTCTTTGACAAAATATTCTACTATCTATGTAGAATCCTCGATACCCACTGTACAGTTTGGAGTTATAATTCAGTTCTGGTAGACGTCAACATATTTCACTGCTGGTGAAGCTGGATAAAAAGTCAAGGTCTCAACATAGTGATTCATCCTGTGGGGAACAACTGCACACAATAATAGCACCAAATTGAATAGCAATCCATCCAATATTTGTTGAGATGAAGAGTGAGGGGGTCAGCAAATACATTTGGATTTATCCTCTGGAGACCATGAATGTCTGGACCACAGCCATCACTAATGTACCTAAAAACAGTCCAGCTGGCTCAGACTATCCTGACTGGACTGAGCGCTGACACTGATTGGTCGATATCACCATCATTTCAAAGACAGAGCTGTGTAAGTTTGGGTAAAATGAAGCAAAAATATGAAAAGTATTGCCCAGAGCTGATGTAGATAATTAGACCTTGTTGTGTCCAGCCAGTATTCTGCATGTCAAGTCTAGCAGCTCTGAGATCAGTCACCCTGCAATGCTTCACATCTGATGAGAGCCACTCTAGTTGTTCAGGTACGCTATGTAATTAATCTTGGATAACATTTCATGCTCATTATATAAATGGAATTTTAGACATAGTGGACAGCTTTTTCTTAGCACAGTGCTGTGTTCTTGCTGTTAAGTCTGTTTGCTAAGTCAGTGTGGGAGGTAATTATTTAAACACTGCCCAGTGTTAATGTAAATATCTATAATCACTGCAGTGCAGGGTAAGAAGGGGCCCTGGATTTTGCACTACACAAGTGACAAAGGCTGTCATCCTTCAGTTTGTTTCTCATTAAAAAAAGTAGTTATACATTTTGGGTAAAACACTTACTCCCTTTTTTCCAAAGATCAATATCAATCTTAAGTCTCTGTTAAGTATGGAGCTGAAGTCAGGACAAGGTTTGCCTAGCTTAGCATAAACACTGGAAAGGATAGGAAACAGCAACCATGTCTCTTTTCAAAGTTTGAAAATAAAACTACCAACATCTCTAAAGCTTACTGATAAACATGTTAGATCTCATTTGTTTGATTAAAACTGTACATGGATAAAATAAGCGAATAGAGCCATGGGAGCCATTGGTTTGTTGACTACCATTCTGAAGCTTTGAGTTTGGCCACAAATGTATAAAGAGAATTGGATACTATTTTCAAAATATTACCAGACCAAATAGATCAGTGAAACTAATCTTTTTGCAGGGGTTCTGAGGCTCAAGAAAATACATCCTCTGATTTACAAATGTCTCTATTGCCATGTAAGTCTAAGGAAAGAAGGCTTTTTGGGCCACATGGCACCACGTGACGAATGTAATTCCTTTATGTGGCCACTACAAAAACTGGCTTCAAATTGCTCTTCCTGGGGGCCTGATTTTAGCATTTTGGCCTTCGCCTTCTTGTTTTTTTTTGGAGCCAGAAGTGACCATATTTGGGCAAGAGGGTTGAGCTGTATTGGAATGAGGGGTGGATCTGACTAAGAATACAAGGACACCCCTGTGATAGCGACCTGTCAATCACAAGGTAGCCATGCCCTATGGCATAGCCTGCTTCATAATCTATTTTACTCTAAATGGGACCATAATGTACAAAATGAACATTCTGCTGTCTTAAAGAAGACTTGAAACTAGCAATCATGATCATGAACTCATTAGGAAAATGTTAATTGAGCTAATAAATGAAGTGAGAGTTGGACCATTTTCTCTTTGGAATTCTTTTTGTGTGACCCCTGCTAGCCACTGGAAACAATGCAGGTTTAAGGCACTGGTTTCATTCTCAGACACAGAGATAAGGCCTTAATTAAAACAGACAGACACGAACAAAAATACAGAGCTGTAAATGCAATTTATTTTTCTACAGGGAGTTACATGAGGGAACTATTTTTGCAGAGCGAGGCTAATAACCCCCCAGGCTTCAGCTCTGCTTAAAACACATATGTAAGCGTGTTATCAATCTTCTCATCTTTTTCCATTCTCCACTTTCAATATAATTTTTGTTTATCTTAATACAGAGGGCTTCATGCACCACAACATCAAAAAAACAACTTGTGTCACTCAAACTACAGTCCTTTTGTCACTTAAAACTCATCAACATGGCCAAAATGAGGATACGGAGAGGAAGATAGGTGGGCAAGCCCAAAGTCACCATGTGATCATGTTATTGAAGACAGCTTTTGTCCAGTGGTGAAACCCATTAGCAGAGCCTTGATTGACTAGTGGACATTTGTTGCTGCAAATTATTTGAACACACTCAAAAGTTCAAACTCAATCAAGAATGTAATGGCATGTAAAGTGTTTATGTATGTAAATCCTATTCTGGGCTATATATTTATGGTAATGACACACTAGAGCAGCCTAGCAGCGTTAGGAACTGAAGAGTGTGTAATTACACTAATGCTCCGCTGACTAATAGGCCACAGGGGAGGAGGAGTCCACTGGCTAGTGTTAGCTCACTTACTGATGCACACATCACACCAGCACTCCGGATATGCTTCTCTCACTGTATGTGTGTGTATGTGTGTCTGCGTGCGCGTGCGTGTGTGTGTGTGCGTGCGTGCGTGCGTGCGTGTGTGTGTGTGTGTGTGTGTGTGTGAGAGAGAGAGAGAGTGTGTGTCTATCTGTCTGTCTGTCTGTGTTTTCGGAGTGAAGTCTTTTTGTCTGGACCTCACTTTTACGTGAAACTTTTTTGGGATGATGACACATTTTAGGGTTAAAGTAGAACTAAACCTGGTCTGCATGAAAGTGGTTAGGTGAAAGTTGTGGAATAAATGCACATTAGTGTTTCGAAAGTCTCACGTAAATGTGAATGTGTTTTTAGAGCGAGGCATCACACTACAGTGCCCATTCTGTGCTGCTATAGTCATGATCACAGATTGGTTTTCTAATCTACTCCAGGATGTGTCTCTATTTGTTTGTATATACTGTATGTGTAAATTGCAACAAACACTGGTGGGGTTTAATACTCAGTGCACCTGTGCATAGTGTTTTCCACATAATCTGCATGAGGCGCATGCTACAGCTGACTCATTTCAAATGATGGGACACAAACTTTAAGGCCCAATCTCATCTCGTATTGTTACCCCTACCCCTCATTTTTGACTGCCCCTTTGCACCTTAAAACAGAGTTACAAAGTGTAGTAGCTAAAATCTTTCCCTTTGAAATGGGACAACCTTCAAGACCCTGATATATCATCAGTAGTTGTCAATGGAGTTTACTTAAGATGCCACCATGGCAATAATGGTATAATCACAATGACAGCCATTATCTGCCGGAGATAAAAAGCATGGACACTTGTGATTAATTCACAACTTCAGTTGGACACTGTCAATTGATTAAACAAGTCATCAATTAGCCATCATTAGCCCCGTTTACACTGCGTCTTCAAGGCAGGAATTTTAAGCCATTATGCTGCCACACCTCTCTCTGTATAAAAGGTACAATCACGTGATAGCTGGACAGAGTGCTAGGGTCGGAAGCAGTAACAGTGCCAAACAATGTCTGTATAAACAGGACCTGGGGTACACCAGTGTGATGTTTTGAAAATGTGTTATGCAGACACCACAGAAGATTTAAAAAAAAAATAGCAGTTAGCAGCTAACACGAAGAAGAAGAAGAAGAACAGCCGCTATATATGTCTGCAAATTGGGAAAATAATGACGTCTGGGAGCTCCTTGCTCTCAAAGGACAAGATAAGCTGCCATATAACAGGGACGGTATATGGTTGTTATTGACATGTTATGCCATTGTTATTGTTTATAAAGTGCTGCTGATGCATGTTATATGTCACACTAGAGGCTGACACTGTTATGTTAAATGTCTTGTATTGCTTCTTTTGATTTTGTGATGCTAGGATGCAGTCTAAAATCACATACTGGAGCGGCGTGATGCTGCCGTCGTTTGGTTCTGTGCAAACCTTCAAAGGTGGCACAAAGAAGGGACTTCATAGCAACCATATGGCACAATTTCTGTGTAAAAAGGGCTTTTAGCAACTAGTACCCTGACAGTCTACACTGATATTATAGAAGCAGTAACAAGTGTAGTAACTTTGCTGCTGGGCTTTAGTAAAGTTTTGGGTGGGAAGGGGGCAATGCAACATGGAAATTTGTCAAAATGCCAGACTGTCATTCACAAATCAGCAATAACAATATAGCATTAGCTAGCTCGCTAGTTAGCTACAAAGACATCAGCATACCAGCACTTTTTTCTGTTATGCCTGTTACAAAGAAAAGTACCATTTAAACAACATTAAACTAAGAGAATACAATGGTTGTCGTCATTTTGATATCTTTTTTTAACCAAGAAAATACATTTGTGGGTTTGTTTTGCTGCTTGTGCAACCATCCTGCCGATGATTTCCAATAACACTGGGTTTGGAGTGTGCCTCTAAAAACCCCTGTTTGGAGGGCCATCTCGTCCTAACACATCGGCCTATTCCTCTATCCCCACAAATAGTGGGACACCCTACCCCTAGACATGAACACACAAAGCGTAGGGGTACGGGCAGAATAGTAGGAGCAAGGAATGTATTGGGATTGAGCTTGAAAATCATTTAAAGACAGTTTTGAAGGACAAGGCTGAGTTTCTTATTGTCAACAAATCTGATGAAAATAGCAAAACCAAGTATATACTAAATTGATCCAACTAACAAATACTGTCAGTGTTTCCAAAGAGTTCAGTGGAGCTCAACTGTTGTAAACAATCACATAAATAAGCTACACATTGTATGTTTCTTCATTACCATGAACACACACACACTGCAAATTAATTTGCCTCAAGTCCACATACATCATCCTGCTGCCACAAATACTCACTAAAGCACCAAATGTGGATTAATCCGCTGCTGAAAATAGTCCCAAACATTTTAAATTACTATGCTCTTCATTAATATGGTTTGGGGCTGAGAGCCACAAACAGAGTAGGGAAGTCAGAAAGGACTGAGAGTAACATATTGTTGATTTGGGTATTTTATATGGGATTTTTGACAAGTAGAAAAAGAAAAGAATATGCCCAGCTTTATTCATTAAAGAAACCCAATATATATGTAACTTAAGATGAACAGCAGCCACTGTGGCCATGGGCTGGGCAATTACAGGATGCATGAAGAAAAAATAGGGAGTGCCACACTGGGTCAATAAACTAGATGGTGGTGATAGTAAAAAATCAGGTGCTCTTCCCGGATAGGGCAAGTAGTCAAATAGGAATAAAAACAGTGACTGTCCATCTTACTTAATATATAAGTCCATAGTATAGGTTGGCAGTCTGACAAGCATCCAGGGCATTGTGATAAGTGCAAATCCTTTAATAATACATGGATGACCAACAGGTTTCGACTAAACAGTCCTCGACTTGCCCTTTCAGATGCACTAATACTGCTGTTTGCTTTTTTTTTTTTTTCCCCCATCATGCACGTTTGACATAGTATGGTCTTAAAAAGTTGTATGGCTAACTTATTAGCATACAGTTAACTATTTCCCCACTCAGCAGACACATAGCAACATTAGCATTCATTTGAAGTTGTGTTTGTGTCCACCTGATGAATGTAAGTCTAATAGTCACTCTTCTTTTAGCTCTGTTTTTGGGCTCCACCAACTCCTGCGAAAAATTTAGCTGCTAAATGCTGCACTACTGTATGTTCCCCAGCTAGTCTCTAACTTTGTGTACCTGCTGTTTGAAGCTGAGCAGGTTATGTACAGAGGGGTTATCAGAGCTTGTTTGCTATAGGCATATGCTTGGGACACTGAACCAACAAAAGTTGCACACTGTTAAACCAAACTGACTGAGCTGAGGGGAACTACAGAGTTGGTAATAAATCTCAATGAGTTCATCACTAGAAGCAACCCCTTTCACAGTCCACACAGTCATTTGAGCCGTTGGTTATAGAAATATTGTTCAGTGCATCTTAAAGCCCTGTCATAAGCTGACTGCTTGTTCAGAGTGAGCCTCACCTTGTATCAAATCAATACTGAGATTGGCTTTAGCCACCCATGACCTTGAAATGAATGAGCTGGTAGAGATAATGAATGGATAGAGACTCAGCATAGACATGCCCCCACATACAGACCTGCATGCATATTGCCCACACTCCAGCCCGAGCAGAGGCCTTACTGACCTGGCAGCAGACGAACACTCCAATATATGCGCAGGCACTGCTCCTCCTTGCGGAAGCCACGCTGGCACTTGCAGGCCAAGAGAGCGGGGTGTTTAGCCAGCAGAGCGTCCTGTCTCTCCAGACACTCGGCTGCTGCCTGCTCCCCCAGTGGGGTCACTGCTGCATCTGCCGCACACAGCTCTAAGCCCCGGTACAACGCCTCACACCGGGGGTCGGCGGAGCACACTCGAAGAGCTTCAACACAGTCAGTGGGGGAGGGAGGGAAGGGGAAGACGGGTGCTGAGTATGGCAACACACCTAAGAGGAGAAAAAGAAGATGGGGAGAAACATGTTAAAAGAGTAAGAGGGGAGGCAACCACGTGTCAAGGCCTGGTAGAAGCTTGGAGATGTAGTAACTATATTCGCAGGGCAAGGTCATAAACTGCTATAGCTGGCAAGCTAAGTTCTAACTTGCTTTGTCGGCTAGGCTAGCACTAGTCAGTCATGATATCTCTAGAATATTACAGAAGTTTTCCCTCTTCCTTTTTGTTTGTTGCCCTTAGTATTTTGTTCACAACTGTACACCACTTGATTAATAAAAAGAAGAAGAAGGAGAGGGAAAATAAAGCCTAACAGGCTTGCTAATGGTAGCGACCCCCCCCCCCCAGCCCCCACTAATTCCACTCAGCCTTGCTTTCAATTTTTCCCAATGGCCACTTACTATATAGCAATGAAAAAATCCCCTGCTGCCCAAAAACGATTTTTCTCACAGACCACCATTGTAAAGGAGATGTCAGGAGATACTATTTAAATTTGACTTCATCACAGCGTGAAGTCTGTGAGCCGAGCTGGAATTCGTGGGCGGGGCCAGTGGGAGAAGCATTACTGCATATAGTCACTGGCCCGCATACTCTGAAAGTAAACCCGGGAGCGAGAAACCTTTTTCAGCGTATGTGCCAGCAATATCATGTCTGTCATTAAACAAACACTGCAGCTCCTCAAGACCTCAGTAAAATACGCATGCCTGGCTCCCCAACTACAGCATGAAGTGAACAGGCTATCCCCAAAGTGAACATCAATTTAGGCCCTGGAGGCAAAACAAGGTCTCCCCTGTGCTTATCCACCACGATCTGGAAGCTGAAGCAAAAACTGCTAACATATTTAATATTTCCTGTTGCATCCATATCACATAGCCCGTTTATTTCTGTTAAAACAGGCAGCTGCGCAAATTGCATGCAGTAATCAGTAACCAGGAAGCTAGTTATGTATGCGGGGATATGAATAACCAGATGTCTTTGTATTCTGTGTAAACATCATATCCTGGATATGATCAAAACCAGGCTTATTCTCATAACCAGGATATTCATGTCCATGTCAACACCCCAAAATACAAAGGTGTGTTCATACAGAGCGTGAAGCAAATATTAGATTGAGCGCAATTCCATACAAAATATATTTATTGGCCAAGTATGTGTGCACATACAAGGAATCTGACTCTGACTCTGGTCTCTTTTTGCTCAATGAAAGTCAGGGGAAAGTTGAGCTTTATGAATCTACTTCATAAACATACAGACGGGAGGACATGGAGACAGACTGGAGAAAAATAAATGAAAGTTCTGGAGTTTCTAGCTACAGCTAATGTCTGCATTGGCTGTTCGGAGCAAATAAACACAGACTGCAATAGCGTTTTTTAATTTCACTGGAAGATTTCATTTTTGGTTGTTATTTTCCTCACAGTCCTGGTTGCAATGGATTAAGGAGAAGATTTATCTCAGCACCCCTGATTTTCTGATAACCTAGGTGCATTATTTTATTTGTGTTAAACAGCAAATGGGTTTCATGGTGTTGTAGCTGAGAACATTGCTGAGAACATTAACAGTAACACAAGCTGAACATTGTGGCAGTGGGCTTTGTGGTGATTTGAGTGGATTAGAAAAAAAAATTCTGATGACTTTATGGAGATGAAAAATGTGTTGTAGTTTTCAGCAGAAAGGTTTTATTTGAACTAGTTATATTAACCCTGGGAACAGCTCTGCTCTGTGACTTTTCAGTGTAATGGCTGCAGTCAGTTCTTCTATGTCCCTCAATGACTGTTGTTTGTTGGATTCTGATTGTTTGAGTTATGAGACTGACATGTTAGAATTTACCGCTATGTCAGATCAAGGCAGTGGTCTGTTGTTGGTCCTTTGGAACATCAGTAAAAATATCTTACAGTCAGTGTAGGTACTTTGTGTTCACACTAACTTTTTTACAACCAAGAAGAGTAAACATGGACTGACAGGCATCTCATTCATTGGGCAGTTTTGGTGATGTCATCTTGCATCATCAGTTCTACATGGAGCCCCGGGTAGAAATCAAATTATGGTGACCCACAGCAGGTTATACTGTACCTCACTACACCTTATGTTTTATTCATTGTTCTGATGTCTTGAAGAACTCAGGAAGAAATATTTGATTGTGAGCATTATTAGCTCCTCTAACTCAGTGCAGTTGCTCATTCAGCATTTCTTTCATTGGTCTTTTTTTAAACAAGACAAGGATAAAACTATATGACCATGTATGGGGGGCTTTTAATTTGAACTAGGAAGTGGTGGCATTAACTCAGTCACAGTCTTTACCCTGCTGTTGTGGTCCAGCCCAGGCCCCCAGGAAGTTTGCTGGGGTTTGAGGCCAATTTTCATAGGGGGCAAACAGTGGTGTTTCAATTTACGGTGTCTGTCACATGATGGATGGGCCCCAGAAGTTTTTTTCCCCATTGACTTACACTGGGAAAGACATAGCCTACATATCAGTGGAAAAAAATTTTTTTAGTGTTACAACCCCCACAAAATGACTGTCAGGGCACTATCAGGAATCCAATCTTTGTGGTAACATTTGGGAAGTCTAGAAGAGCTGCAAGATTGAATCATTTTATCCCCACTGAAGTTAGCAGAGCAGTAAACTGGAAGTAGCCAGCATGGCCAGCAGAAGTATCTAGTGCACTTGCTCTATGGGCCCAATAATGTGAACGCAGCACCAATCACCCAGGTAATTTCATACAGCAGAAACAGAGCCTTTTTGGCTACGTCACTGAGCAACTTTCATAGGAATGAACTGGGCCCCACCGCCAATGCTGTATCCAGTGTCTCAAATCACATACTTCAGTTAGTACACTTCCATGTAGTATAATGTGCACTATGTACTTATTGGCGTAGTGTGCGAATTTCGACAGGGTAGTGTTGTCTCAAACCAAACACAGCCATAGTGTACTCACCGGAAATGACGACCGCAAATTAGCTAGTTAGCAAACTAGCATTAGCATTCTCGTTTTCGTTCACTGCTAAATTAACCCAATAAACATACTGCTGGCTTATACTCGACAACAACATAGTGGTGCTTAGTGCAAAAAACACATGTATTTGTACAATGTAGCAAGGTTCACGGTTGCCAAGTCCTCTGCCGCTATTTCCAGTTTGAAAAGTGGTCCCTCCCCTTCCGCTACGTAGCCAAGATGGTGACCATTGACCATTTTTCCATACTTCTCAGTGTGACTGCACTTATGCACTCAAAATATTAAGTGTAATACGTCCATGGTCCAGCGCAAAAAGACAGTCACATTGCAGAATACTAAAAAAAACTGTTGTTATCAGTTCCGCTGATAACAACAGTTTGTAAGACATCCTATGGACGCCAGTTAATTGACCAAACCAACTTATTTGTTGACCTCTAGTAATGGGTTGTCACTAAGGCACTGGCGCTCGTGCCAACATTTTATTTTCAATTACTCCTCATAATGGTGGCAGTACCCATTCTCACATTGTAACACACAATAACTGTACTGGTAAATTTTAAGCCTTTTGTGTCACACAGACACAGCTGCTCCTCAGACAAATTGATGAGGGTATCCTCTTTGTCCTCCTTCCAAAAATGGCTGGCTAGTTAGCTAGCATGCTAATTCCACCATGCTTATGCTAACATTACAGTGGTTACAGACAATGAGCCGAACAAAGTTGCCACTCAACTTATGATAGCGATGTGCTTACCTGCTCTGTGATGCGAGGGTGTGGCTGAAGCATTAAGTTGTTAAATTGAACTAATGAAGCTGTTGGCTAGTAAGCTAGCTAGCTTGCTAATTCCGCTATGCTATCATGCTACTTATTTACAGAAAATGAGAAATACAGTAATACAGGACTCTCCACACCTGTTCATTTTGAAAGCGCAATGGCATCATCACACACTCTGACTAATGGTGTCACTCGTTTATGGCTGGCCTAACAGTGTGGGGTCCATGTCATTGGTCCGACAGCCCATTGGTCCGACATCCGATTAGTCCGACGGTCCGCGGTGCTGAACGGCTCCCGGCGGGCGTATTTCTGCCTTGATGGTGCGCCGCGACCGGCTCTGGGTCAGCTGGGAAAGGCTTGAGGTGGAGCAGGCTCACAGCTTATGTGTTTGTCACTTTCTTTTTCATTTTAACCCACACCATGATCTTTTCCTGACCCTAACCAAGTGTTTTTTGTGCCTAAACCTAACCAGACCTTAACCACAGGGCATCATGATGATTTCGCAACAGACTTCGGAACAATGGGTTTAATATGGTCGGAACAATGGGATGTCAGACCAATGGGCAGTTCCCACAGAGGGTGGTCCATCCAAAAATGATGTATTTAGTGTCCAATCTCAAATGCAAAATGGCATTTGCTAGAGCACTTGTTACAAGAAACTGAAACCTTTGTGATTGTAACAAATTTTAACAATTATTTTGTGAGCACAGAAAAAAAAATAAGCCCCCCTGATAATTTACAATCACTGCTTTATAATTTAGGGTCTGTCCTTTATTCATCCAAGGAAGGGCAGGGGTGTGACTTTGTTTTTTTTCTTTAACCCTCTGTATCCACCATCACCAGCATGTCCATCCACTGTACATTAGTTCTAAGATTTTTAAAACTTAACCTTTGATGTTTGAAAGTTAAAAGTTGTGCAAGCAGTTTATTTTTGGCCAAACTTTAAATTAAATGTAGAATAAAGTGATTTAAATAACATATCACTATTTTAAGCTCAGATTTGGTTGTTTTTCTCTGACAGAAGCGTTTGTCGCACATTGTATGTCCAAGAACCATCTGTAATTTGAATTTCCAACAATAATTTCTGTTTTCACAGTGTCTGGCTGTGGTAAATATGGTAATTTTGGCGACTTTTAAAGAAAACATGCCTTCCAAACCTGTGGGTTTTCTTTAAAAACTGAAGGTAAAATGAATACATAATACAACCACTTAGAGTTGTATGCCCCTCCCTTAAGCCAAAAATATATTAAAAAAAACAAAACATAAATTCTTCTC